TTTGATCTGGACAATGCCTTTAAGGCTGGCGTCATTGCAGTCGCAAGTCACATGAAGGAAACTCAAAAATTCATTTTCGCTCTTTTCTCCTTCAACCCATTAACAATATAGTCGAAATTGTTTTCAAATACTCGAATATTGCATATGTCCGAAAACTGAAAATCTCGAATATTCCACTACAATATCCAAAAATCGCAAATTTCGAATATCCGGCTATCGAATATTATTTTCGACAATCACATAATATTCAAAAGTTGAGATTTTCGAATATTCGACTCCCGAAATTTATTCGAATATGTAATTTTTCGTCGACTTTCGAATTCGAAATCTCAGATTTCCAAATATTCGACTTTTCGAAACATTCGCATTCGAATGATTTATTCGAGCGATCAAATAATCATTCGACTGTAGTATAGTGACCAAGATGGACGCATCGTCGCAAAGTTCACCCGTAGATCATGTTACACTTTGCTCTTCGCACGGGAGTGCATCACTTACGACAAATGCACTTCCCTTCAGAATATTCAAGAAGGGAATCGATTTGAAGCATCCATTTTACAACCGTGAAATCTTCCAGATATCTAATTTCAACTTATGCAATTATATATGCGCAACAGAAAACTCAAAAATATGTCGGCAGCATTAATCAAGGCCACAGCGATAAGATAACGGCCATTTTTTACGACAAATACGTGCCACGAACACGATTGAACTTTTGCTCCGTCATTTCTCAGGCTGCACCGAATTCTTGTAAAGCTTGCACATATTGATTTCAAATCCCCAGCGGCTCTGTGCATCCGTTTTCCCTATTTTGTTACAAAAACATTTTTAAAGATTATTTAGTCCCATGATGACTGATCTCGACTACGAGATAGTGGATTCTGTTCCACCAAATGACCATGCTTGGTTAGAATGGAAAGAACTGGTCGAAAAAGAACATTGGTCTTCAGATGACCTAAGCGTGCTCACTCTCACACCTTTATTACCAAGTACGCGTGTGGTCATGGCGAAGAAGAAGCAGGGTGTGTGGCCCTTTGTTTTTCTTTTTCTTAGTCATTTTAGTGCTTACATCCACAGGTGGGAGTTTTATTGGGTGTGTCATTTGGAATGAGTACGATAATATTGCTTGGCTTGGCTTCTATCTGTTGGTACCCGAAGCTCGCGGTAAAGGAATAGGCTCAATCATGTGGAAGCGTGCCCTCGACAGGATGCCAAAGGATTATACACTTGGACTTAGAGCAGGTAATCCTTATATCAGATAGATCTTTACAAGGTAGATACCATCAGAAGTGTAGCAAATTGTCATTTGTACCTTATTCGCAGTTTTTTTTTTCAAATCATATCAACAGGGGGTGGCTTTGTAGACTGCAGTGCCAAACATCACATTTTTGGTATGAAAGATTTCCCGCCACTCCTTACGGTGGGATTACGGTACGAACCTTCGACTTTCAGGCTACAGAGCCGAATCCTGCACAGCGAAGGCAGCGAAATATTGTACCGGCGTAGTTTACGATGCAAAAAAAATCACTTCAAAAGTAACATGTCCAGAAACAACATCAAAAGTTTGCCATTCAAAGAGCAATCTTCCAAAAAGCTGCACAGTAATGCTACTGGAATGAAATTCTACAGTTTTCGAAAACATCGATCTACAGTAATCCCAAAGTGTTGAGGGCGATCGCTGAGCTTCAGAAGAGAGCCTAATGTAAACTAAAGCCGAAATTTTAATATGGCACCAGAAGAACTATACACAAAAATACGACGAC